TATTTTGGAATCTTTAAACACAAAATGATAAATTGAAGGGGATTTCTGCAATTCTGGCAAAAGATTATTCAGCATATTTTGAAAAAAACTGTGACAAATGTTTCAAAAAATAAAATTTATAGTAAAATACTGGCAGCTGTTTTTTTTCTTCTAATTTTTCTTTTGCGTCTCATAGGTGTCATTTTGTCATCTTCATGTCTCTATTTTTTGTGTCTCATTGTCTATTTTTTTGTCTGTTTTTGTTGTTTTTTGTTTGTAATATTATGTTCCTTTTTTTTTTTTTTTTGCTTAATTCACACCTCACATTTGTAGAGCAGCCTGCGTGTGTTTATAGTCCAAAAACCTTTTTTTTTTCTTTAGAGTTTATAAATTTTACCCATATTTTGTAATGACTGTACACTACTGTTAGGATTTTTACAGTAATTTATTACAATGTCGGATTTACCAGGTTGTTTTTTTGTTTGTTTGTTTCTCCTGCATACAAACAGAAAGGGAAGCTTGCAAATTCAGATCGACAGCTTCACAACAAAATATTTCTAATACTAGGAATTCAGTGCAGTTGAGACGCCAAGATGAAGTATTTTGTTGTTATGGCCTTTTTTTTTTTTTTGCCTCCATATGTCATTCGAAGTCTTGTCATAAAATTAGGAGACATAAACATATAGTTAGGAGATGTAACTTCCCACCCTGAAAAGATTTACTGATGAACACGTGACTACAGGAGGTAGTTTGTTGTTCAATTAGCACGGCAGGGGCCTGGTGTTGGAGTCTCCAGCCAATTAATTTTTATAAATGTCATGAAAATGGTAAATATAGCCTGAAAGAACGTCGATGTTGGCATAAAGGTTAATTCACTGTTAACTCTCTCCTGTTCCTGGTCTTTGAATCCTTTAACTGAGACTATTTGCCATTTGAATGCTGAAATGAGACATTTTCCCTCCTACAGTAAGAAGCTGAATTTATGAGCAATAAAATGCAGTTCGGTGCATTTAGGGGACCTGCAACGAGCTCCGGCGTGATCGGTAGCTTAAGGTAGCTGATGTTACTGGAGGAAACTTGTCTCCGATCGACGAAGGCTATAATAAGCCCTCGCCGACTCCCACAATATCGGATCTGTTAACAGTTTGGTGGATGTGATTTTCCAGAGGATCTGCTGCAGTAATGAGCTCCCTATTTTGACCTGCAGTTCTAATGATATGTCCAGCTATGCTCTGAACGCAGCGGGCGCAGAGCACGGAGCCACATTCATATTAGGTTCGTTCAGCCATAGCGGCGCTCTGCTGCCGTGACAATACACGGTGAGGCTGCGAATAAAGAAAGACGAACGTGGGAATGTCAGGCATCTGCAAGACAAGGCAGCGATGTCGGATGTTCAAGCCGTACAGTGAAAAACTAAACGTCTGTGGTCACGGGTTGGAATTTCTTCTAGTCAGAGACGTCTTTTATTCTTGTGTTAGTTTAGTAGTATGCCATCGAACACACAAAGGTTGTTAAAAAAGATATTCACCCTGAATATGGATTTGGAATGGCGTAATTAAATGGACCATTTTAATGTCTCAGATGGAGACGAAAACGGCTCCGATAGGCTTAAGACGGCGTATGATTTCAACATTAAGTGTAGTAAAAAGTTGGTTTAAGACTGCGTGAGTGAAACTGAGCATGTTGTTCCGTAGGTAACCTCAAGCCAACAGCATCTGTGACTGCACAGAAAGGCATGGGCGCATGTGGAGAAAACCTTGGCACTGTCAAAACTCAGCCGACCAGTTTACACACAAGAAAACTGGGAATTCTGGAAGCAATTGCCTGAAAAAGTCAGGAATTCATACAACAGAAAAGATTACGCAGATTAAATAGAACTGACCTGTCACTACACCTGGTCCTCAGAGGCAAGTCTGGCCACTCGGCAGCCATCTTGGTGACACCCCCTGTTTAGGGCTTCTTATATAAATGGCTGGAAGGAAAGCCAAAACTGTGATTTCAGTGTCCTAAGAGCTTCAGTAGAAGGCAACTAGACTCATGTTGTTTGGGTTTAGAGACTTTTCAGCTCTAGGGAGTCCCAGAAAAATACTGCCATCCACAAATCACATGGCTAAGGCCCAAGACCCAAGACTCACCTGCCATGTCAGGAATGGCTGAAAGTGTTGACATGAATGAAACGTTCTCATTAGGGATCTCAAGACTGCGTTATAAATACCTGATGAGTGGTGTTGTAGACCCCGTCCTATGTTTTAAAGATGGGTGTTCCAATTCAACATAGATGGCTCCCTTCACTCCTTTTCCCAAAACATCAGGAGTTAGTAAATAGAGACGGTTGAATATTAACTCTAAGTCACTGGTATGACATGAGATCGAATGTAAAGATCCTGGTGCACTTTAAATAAACGGATAAACTGGATTAGCCCTGTGATAGACTGGTGACCTGTCCAGGGTGTCCCCTGCCTTCGCCCTAAGTCGGCTGGTATAGACTCCGGGATATAGATAATGGCTGGATGGATAAACTGGATTATTTAGTTTGGGAAAGCTATGGGCTAAAGCATATATTTGACAATAAAAGTCATAATTTGTCATTTAGCTGGGAATAAAACTAAGTACTATCGGTCTAATCTCTGGTGCAGAAACATTGTTGTTCGTGTTGTTAAGACGTGGAGGCCTGAGCGTTTCCCTCGATTTTAATGTCCTATTTGTTTACATTCTCTGCTGCCAAATTCTAATAGTCCTTTGTATTTGTTTTAAGCTGATATTTCTTCACCATTTTTCTGGAAATTTTCTTTTCTTTTCTTTTGAAAGTCTCACTGATTGACATCTTGGGGAGCTTGACAGGCACAGCACGGGTAGCCAAGTGGGGGCTTAGTGGGGCTTAGTGAGGGGTTAGTTGGGTTGTTATATTAAACGTGGATCGTGAACACTTATTTTACAACAACCAACCTATCGTTTGCATTTTTAAAATATAGTGTGTGAGTGTTAACATTTAAATTTTGTGTAGATAGTTAATGAGTGACTGTTACATACGTTGTTATTGTGTGGTTTGACTAATTAACGGGCTATAAAATTTAAAACAAATGCTTGTCAAGCTAGTTTTGGTCACATGAAACTTATTTTTTTCAAATACTTAAATATTATTCAACATTTTGGGCTCTGCAATGCAGTTTGCTTCCTATCCAGTAGATGTTAAAATGCCGCACTTTCTTTAAGCCATTTAGAAAAATTCCATCTGATGTCATTTTAAAACTTTACATTCTCTCATTCAGCACACATTCACATTAAATGTTCTCACTCATCACCAATCCGTCCACACGCACCACAAGAACAAAACTCATCAACGCTAAATTGGAAAAATCGTCGATGACTTGACGCAGTTCACACAAATCATCCGTCTTCACGTGATTGGCACATAGAAACCGTAAAAACCAACATATAAAGCTGTATCAAAGCTAAAGGTGTCATAAAAACACAGGCACGCACGCACATACCCGCACGCAAAAGAAAAGCAAACATAGGGAACGTGTGTTTTTTTTCTGCATTTTTGACCACTGGGCTCTTTTTGCTCAAACGGTATTTCGTTTGAGAGCAGCTGCTGTCGTTTTAAACATGGGGCAGGAGTGCAATGTGACGACACGATGAGACGAAAAAACCCCCCCGGCATGTGGGCATCCTGTAGCCAAGGCAGTTTGGAGGAGGCAGACGGAGACAGTGGGAGGTGGAGTAGCTACGTTTCCATTCAACAGTCGATAACCTTGGCTAGAACAAACAAATCGGTCTTTGAAAATTGGAGAAAAAAATGTTGGGTTTCTTTGATGATGACGGTTACAAAAGAAGTGTAGTACGAAGCAAGTTCAACATAGTCAGGCTTTGTGTAACCTGGATTAACCAAACCTAAAACCTCAATTAGAGATAATCTGTGTCACAGTGGTGACGTTTTTTTGTTAATTTTACTTTAGTCAGGGGAACAATTTCTTATGAAGAAGTCTTATAATGTATTAAGGCAAAAAGCGCTTTCACTGCTCAGTCACCGATGGCTTATAAGTTGCACCAAGACGTGCGGAATTTGTTGTTTTTGACAGAATCTGGTTAGCGCACAGGGTTTAGTTTTGAGGAATGCTGGGCGAAAAGTGCTAATATATTGATTTTACTACTCAGTGAATATTTCTAACATGCCAGTTGCACATCAGAACTGTTAATTTAAAACTCCTTAAACATGATACTCAAGAAGTGCATTTATGACGTTGTTGCATGATAGTTTTCAGGCAATTTAAAGTGAAATCAGGGTTACTGATCCGATATTCTGTGATAAATACTAAAAGGCTAATCAATTTTCCTATTTGTGTCCAATATCAGTCAAGAGAACAAGTGTTTTGACACGGAAAAGTCTGACTTTAGGCTCAACATATCTCGCTAACACATTAATCTCACTTCGTAGTGCACGTTTCAGGAATGATGTTTTCCATGGTAGAAGCTAAGTGCCTTAGCATGCTAACAACTGCTAACTAGCAGTAAACAGACAATGCAGACGACGGGAATGCCTTTAGTTTTAGTTGGCAAATCCAATAATTGTTGAGGTTTTTCAGGCTGGATCAAAGTGACGGACTGATAAAACCAAGAATGCAAACCTTGTATAGCTACCGGCAAATCAAAAGTGAAATCAAAGTGAAATTAGGGTTCCTGATTGGATATTCTGTGATAAATACTAAAAGACTAATCAGTGGTGTTATTTGTGTCCAATATCAGTCAAGAGAACAACTGTTCTGACACTGAAAACTCTGACTTTAGGCTCAACATATCTCGCTAACTCGTTAATCTCACTTCGTAGTGCACGTTTCAGGAATGCTGTTTTCCATGGTAGAAGCTAAGTGCCTTAGCATGCTAACAGCTGCTAACTAGCAGTAAACAGACAGCGCAGATGACGGGAATGCCTTTAGTTTTAGTTGGCAAATCCAATAATTGTTGAGGTTTTTCAGGCTGGATCAAAGTGATGGACCGATAAAACCAAGAATGCAACATTCCACAAATCTACAAACACATTGGGGAATAATGTAGTGCTAAGCATATTAAATATGTTTGTTGATTTTGCATCTCAAAAATCCTTTTGCAGTGAAGCTGAATTATTTACGAGATTGAGGAAATTTATCATCACATTCTGTAATCAAACCCTAAAATAATGCAATTTCAATTCAGCTGTAACTCTCAACTAAAATATAAAGTTGGATGGAAACACAGCTAAGGCACAAAAGAAAGGTAAAGAAACAGAAAGACAGACAGACGTGGAGATAAGCTCTAAAAGGGAGACGGACAGACAGACAAATGGAGACACAGGCAGACAGATACTCACCCCCTACAGACAGACATATGTAGAAGAGGTAGTGCAGGGCCACTATATGCATGCACTTGACTGAGGCTACACTCATGCAAAAAGGTTAATACAAACACTAGAATACAGTACAGTACGGTACAGCACGGTACGGTACGGTACAGAAGGGCTACCAGGACCTGCACTGCTGCTACCTGACACACATGCCAGGAGAGAGAGAGAGAGAGAGAGAGAGAGAGTATTACAAGCTTCATACTGAAACTGTGTGAATATAAAAGTATCAACAGTAAAAATCCTTGTTAGCATTTACTGTAAACAGTGAGTGAGTTGGAGAGAGAGAAAAGAGACAGAGAAAGAAGAGTCCGGTTATTTACAGCAGAACGTTTGAGTTCGTTTAGGATCAAGTGATTCCTTTGTTTGTCTGGAGACATTCTCTTTTCCCGGTGCTTCACGTCGTTTTCTTCACAGCTTGACTCCCCCCAAAAACTCTCTCCAGGCTTCCCAGGCAAGAAAAAAAACTAATTAAAATAAAAATCCAGACGATAACAGGAATGCTTGACAGTGGAAGTAAACAGACTCTCATTGGCTTTTCCGGCCCTCCAAAGCGCCACTCTCCCGGCCCGACATGCAGCTTCCTGAACACGAGAAAGACCACTGTGTATCCACGACGACAAGGCATGGAGAGCGGCTTTAAGGAAATGGAAGTATTTCGCGCGTAAATGTTCAGCGAACCCCCCCCCCAGACTCCGAACACTATTTCTTTTTTTTCCTCCTTGCTCCTTAGATCTGGGTTTGGAGAGGCTGACCAGGTGGCGTGTAGGGAGGCGGCGCCGGCGAAGGCTTTATCCCGCGGGTCCGCATGTAGGAGAGGAACTGGTCGGGGATCTCGGCCAGGACGTCTTTGGCGAGCCGGGCCATGCTCAGGACGTGGTTCCCCGTCCGGTCGATGTAGTCCCTGAATGGGACAAACTGAGAAGGAAGAAACGTGAGTTAAAAAAAAGACGGCAATTCACAGCTCTCTGAACAGTAAGTGTTGGACCATGCAGGTGTGGCAACGTTGTCAACCTGATTTCAACACAAGACTGCAGAGAAATAAAGCAGAGGCTCCAATGACTCCTATAACTTTAAAA